GAAAGAAAGCAATCCCGTTTCCGCCAGTAACTCCCGGTTTACGCACCATGGCACACACGAAATGCGTTGAGAACGAGAGAGATTCAGATGAATTGAATACAAAGGGCTGCCTGAAAAAAGCATGACCCATTTTCTGCTGTGAAGTGTTGGTCAGCTGCAATAGTCCACCGTGGAGGATTTGAGCAACCCCATCAACATGAAGATCTCCCTGGCGAAAACCATTGAAGATGAATCCAGTTTCTTGTTGACTTGACTGGTGAATCAGAAGAAGAAAGGAGATCACCATCCAGATCAGATCCAGTCTGGGAACCATTGTTAATGCAACAAAGTGTTTGCTGTTCTGAGAAAAATCTTGTCTCTGAGTCAATGGTATGGCAAATAACTATCCTTTCCATCTGCAAAACAAGGTCGGATTAATACTTCACAAGAAGAAGAACATTCTGCATTTTCCAAGAGAATTGGTAAGAGTTGACTTCAACAATATGATAGCTGTCACATTTTGGCTTCTTTGTTAAAAGAATACACAAATTCCACAGAATAGAATTTCCTTGGAGTTTCACAGTATTCAAAGGCAAGCTTCTCGCTAATTGGTCATACCAAGTCCTACTTTTCTTAAACAATTTAGAAAGTTGCATTGTCACCATCTCTGAGTGTTTCAACACTTTTCATAGTCGAGAGCCTACTCAAATGGGCTGAAACATGCATCTCCTAGGACTATACTGTTGTGTCTTGATGTCTGTCAGTTTTCCAAAAGAACCTAACCCTTAAAAGAAACAATTTCATAACCAAACAATATATCAGCTTTCTAGTTACAGAACAATAGATCACTGGTTGACTCAAAGGGTGACAACAAGTTGCTTTACAAAAGTTAGCAAAGTAATTGCAAGAATTTTACACGAATGATCAGTCTTTTTTAATCGTTCTACAAGCTAAGCTTAGTGAAGAATGTCAAGAATGGACATGGTGCGAGCATATACATTGATGAAACAAAAATATGAGAAGAAATGGCTGAAAACCAGTCAATAATAAGAGGCCAAAGAAGAGGGAAGCTGTTAGAAACTTTATCGCCCACTCCCGTAGAGGACTGAGTGAGTAATAAACATAGAGTTGTTGGAGGATGAAGACGAAAATGATAGTGAAGGGATCACGAGTGGTGCTGGCGAAAGCTCCATTGGACTGAGAACTCCAATCCCTGGAGAATTGGGCCAAAACTCGGGCAAAGCTAGGTTTCCGTTTAAGTATTGCACCACTTGTTCCATGGCCGGTCTTGAATCTGGAGCAAGGTTTGCACATAGCAAACCGATTTTCAGAACCTTCTCGACTTCCTGAGATGAGAATTCTGTCAACCTTGGATCTCTAGCATCAATCAAAGAAGACCTTTTCCAGCATTCACTAACCCATTTGATCAGATAACGTTTTGCAGCAGGCAATCCAGGTTCCACAGGTCTCCTCCCACAAGTTACTTCAAGCAAGAAAACACCAAACGCATACACATCAGTTCCAGTGGAAGCTCCCATAGTTGTAAGCTCAGGTGCCATGTAACCAACAGTTCCTACTGCAGCTGTTGTACTTGGATCGGCCCCTCTGTCATATAACCTGGACATACCAAAATCACCCAACCTTCCATTGAACTCTGCGTCCAACATAACATTTGCAGCTTTGATATCTCTGTGTATAACAACTTGGTCAGCTTCTGTATGTAAGTAACTAAGAGCTGATGCGATATCTCTAAGGATCGCGAGTCTTCTCCACCAGGGAAGAGACAATCTATCATGATTAAACAAGTAATGGTCAAGACTACCATTTGGCATGTACTCAGACACCAGTAATAACTCATGTTTTCTCCTGCAATACCCAAGAAGTGGAACCAAGCTCCGGTGTTTTAAACTCCTCATGCTCACGATCTCAGCAACAAATTGCTTCATACCCTGCTCACCATCATGTGATACTCGCTTCACAGCTACTTCTCTCAGTTCTCTGCTCCGAGGGAGAGTTCCTTTGTAGACTTCACCAAAACCTCCTCTCCCAAGAAATTCAGTCCTATTGAATCCTTTGGTTGCTTTGTATAGAGATTTGTAGGAATACCTGAGTGGACCATACTCCTTTTCCCATTCCTCTCTTACTTCAGCGTACAAGTTTCTCCTATACAAATAAGCTGCAACAAGAATCCCCAAAACTATGAAAGCTATTAAACCAAGCAGAATACCGAGCACAGGAGATGTAGACTTCTTTTTAGTGCTAGTGTGAGGAACTTTGGGAAGTTTTGAGATGTCAATGTTCAGCAGAGACGCCATGCTTTTGCTGAAACTCCACCCGAGTATGTACTGATAACTCATGCTTGACCCGGTTGAGCCAGAAAACCCGACAAACATTCTTTTACCTTGCAAAATATCAGTAAGATTGATGGATGTTGATGACAAAAGAGGTCGGCTTGGTTTCTTGTTTCTAAGAGGAGCCAATGAAACGTTGAGTGTTGTTCCTTCATAGTCCACCCAAACCTGAATAGGATCACCACTCAAGAGTTTTATGTCTATATTCTTCCCTTCTTTGTCTGAGAAATAAGAAGCATTGGCAGATGTCACAGACTCCGCGCTGTTAACATCAATCCCAACATGATTATCGCTGATGTCTTTCACATCGGAAGCTAGAGAAGTGTCAAGCTCTACAGCCAACACACGTGTGGAAGTAGATCCATTTCTGTTGAAAAGCCCGAAGTATCGCGTTGCCTCTGCGTCTTTGAAATCAGTGGAATGAGACACAAAAAAGGTCATGCCATGGCCACTCGGATCACCTGCAGGGAGCAGTGCACACACAAAATGTGTCGAGAACGAGACTGATTCAGATGATTTGAACTCAATCGGCTTCTCGTAGAAAACATGACCTATTTGGCTATTGGTTGCATTTGTCAGTTGCAGGATACCACCACTAGGAATGATTCTTGCACTACCATCAAGGTGAAGATGATCTGCTTGACCAAAGTTGTTGTAAACAAACGGCGTCTCTTGCTGAAATGATGAACAAACACAAAATATCATCCAGATGATTCCCAAAAGCAATCCTCGAATCATTGGTAATGAAACAAACAGAGAGTTATCGTTTCGCTTTTGTTTTTGTATACTTTCTTTGCTCTCAATGCTTAACAATTATCTCTTTCTCTCTGGTTGTAGACCCATTGAAAATGACTTCAAAGTCAAATATTACGACTGCTTTAGAATCTTTATGGTATATTACCTTTCCCATAATAAGACTTTCGAACACCTGTCTAAGTCAAGACAGCAAAATCAATTCCATGAAATAAAGAAAGAGGTAAAAACTAAAAAGCTTGGACTGATTGGCCTTTAATATTATTTAAGAGGAAAATGTCAAAACACTGATCATTGAAAAGAAAAGGAGGACGGTGCAAAACAAATCTCTGGATAAAAACAAGTCTCTAGTTGGCAGAGCCACTGGATTTGGATGTGACTTCAAAGTTTTTGGTCATATTATTAGACACTCAAGTTTACGGATAACACTTCTATTGTGTTGACGGTATAAATTAAAATATGGGGCTCGAAATACTCATTGACATTAAGATAATATAAGATACTATAAGGTTGATAATTTCTTTATACACTTTGTATATTATATGTTATATTATGTCAAGGTCAACTTTATTGAACAATGACCATTTCAATCCTACCCTTAAGAAACTCAGAATGTCATATCTACACGCTTCATGGAAATTTCCTCCATCTTTCCTAATATTCCATGGCTATTTCAAATATCCATAAATACTGCAAACATGCAAATGTTATTATTAAATCCTCATATCAAATTCATAACATTCCTAGGTTCAAAGGCCAATCATTTGGAAAGAAGATGCACCAAATTGTTCTAATAGAATTTCCTTGAAATCTAACTTGTTTCAAAGGGTAAGTCCATCATTTTCAGTCCAAGTCATATAAGAAATTGAAGGGTCACAGTATCAATAACATCAGTAGCCTTACCTTTCATGGATGAAAAATACATATCCCACCACGTATTGCATCGCTTGCTTGTAATCGAGTTTTCACACTAATATCGGTCTCTTTCTGTCCTGTTCTGCAGTGCAGAGCCCGCAACCAAATCTACAAGAAAACAACTCTATGAATATTGTGAATAAAGTGACCCCATATCAGTATCATCATTACCCAAACAGTTTTTCCTTCCCAATTGTTGAGTCTTGTAATGGCCATGATCAGCAGAAAAAAAAATTCAAACGAGTAACACTAAATTTAAGGAACAATATCATAACCAGATTACAATCTTCCTAATTAGAACATTAACTAACTAATGTGAAAGAAAAAAAAAATCAACAAGATCATGTTCTCCACAGTTATAACTAGAATAACATAAAGAGGCTTGCTTAGTTCAATCCAGAGCATTTCCAAACATTTCTCCATTCTCCGTTGTTGAGTATGTGATTTATCAAAATCACCTTTAAAACAAAAGTTTAGAGATTAACCAGGTTATTCTATGTCTCATCACAGATGACAGAACAATAAACGATTTGACTTTAACATTTGTAAATTTGACAGCAAGTTCTTTGATATGGCACTATACTAAGAAATGACGAACCTGCAGGTTATTTGGTAGAAAGCTCAAGCAAAAAGTCCAATCACACGAATCACATTTCATCTCCGCCTCAGCTTCTTGACTGCGAGACGTTTGCATTGCTGCAAATCCAATAGATGTGTACCCAAATTGTGAATTTATGTGTGCTAATCGTCGAAACAGTGGGTCTTTCTTAATTTATCGTCATTGGGAACGAAATAGACGGCGACTGATATCTCCGGCTGTAGATTCCGAGACGGTGAGAGCCACAGGGCAAGTGGGCTATATAATGTATCCGGCCCGATCTCGGCCCATTCGTAACTGAACCATAAGTGTGAGAGGAATGCAAATATACTTGTTCGCTATCAATCTCATTGAAGGGAAACAAAAAGATGAGCAAGCCGAAACCAAGAAAAAAATAAAGCGAAAACAATGCACTAACTTTAATCCCAAGGTGTCTACAAACTCCAAGATTACCCAAACTCATACAGAACAACAAGTCATAGAAACATGAACCTCAAAAAACGATTAAAGAGTAAAATAGCATAATATAGCAAAAGAGTTTGGACCTAGAAAAAAAAAAAAAGATCGAACTTTGGTTCCAAACCAATCCTCAGAAGTGAGGGTAATCAGGATGGAAAGGGTTCGTGTAGTCCTCGATTTCATAGCCGTCGGAGTCGTACACTGTAGTGTACTTTCCATACTTCCCAAAGTATTCGCAATCCTCATCTGCTTCCGCCATGTACAATTGGAGACGACTCTTGGGAGACAACATCTCGGGGGTAAAGATCACACCTACAGATTAACAGAGAGTGCTTTCAGTATGAACTATATGAGATTCAAGGGTTTTAGAGAGATTTGGAAGGGCACATTACCATCTGGCAAGTCGAAGAAGGGGTCGAAGGGCTCTTCAGGATTATGAGCATTCATAGCATGTCCAAAATGAGGGTGGAAGAAGTCTTCATAGTCGTAATCATCATCATCACTGTCCTCATCCTCATCATCAAAGTAGTTGTTAGGCGCCACATTGGCACGCACTGGATCTTCACGTGTGATGTATTCTTCGTTCCAGGCCGGGCACCGATTTACACAAGTCCTCATTTTCTTGTTCCATCCACCTCCGCAATTGTAGCAAAACTCATGCCCACATCTAACGAGAATACCAAAGGGAATGTCGAATAGTTAAACATAGAAAGATTGCAGTTTATCACATCTGCTTTAGATTACATGGTCTTATTTGATAAGGTTTTTAGGAGGATCAATGTGTAGAGAAATAGATAGATACCTGCAAGTTATGTGATTGCATCCTTGTGAAAGTTCAATCATGTGTTGGCACTTGCCACATTGGCGCCACATCTTATTGTTCGCAAGAGATTTTAGCTTCACATCATCTGCTGGAGGGTTAGGATGCAATTTCTTATACTCAGCGCAGGACAGATTTGCATGCCACGGAACTTTACAATCCACACAGAAGAGGCCACGACATTCAACACATCTCCTAACTCCAGATTTAGGGTAAACAGACAGTAAGCTCTTGGCAGATTCAGAAATCTTGGTCTTGGACATTAAAGCCGAGCACCTCGGGTAAGGGCAGTAAACTCTCTCTGTGACAGGTATTGCATTCTCTTTAAGTCTTTGTTGCCACATTTTACTCAGTTTTGGAGTCAAAAGCTTGCCACAGGCATCGATAACCAGCTCAGACTTGCAGCCATCGTGAGGACATTTGGGAACCATTCCATGAAGCAGCTTCACCTCTACATGTTGTTTCACACAATGAAAGCAAAAGCGGTGACGGCATTTTTCAACAGAAAACATGCGCTCAGCAAGGATGTCGTTGAAACAGATAGCACACTCCTCTTTCCGAGCTGCTTTTGCTTGGCGAGGATCTTCATGCGGGGTGACCTTAGAAAGTATTGATTCCCTTGCAAGTTTATAAGCAAATTTAACATCATTTCCAGCCACCAGAACATGCTGACAAGATGAAAAGTGTTGCATGATGCTTTGCAGATCATCTAACAACAAGGAAATCTTCTTTTGCTTAGCCATCCATTTTCCCGTGACCTACATTCAAGTAAAATACAATCTTCTCAAACATATGACAGGAAAAGCTAGGTAAAGAAGCATAACTCATTGCAATTTAAACCATCTCTCAAACACACAAGCATAGAACCTTAGAAGTGATCATGCTCTACTGTCTCGTAACTAGTAAAGATTAGCGCAGTCAGATCTATATAATGCAAACCAAAGACATATGATAGTGGCTTAGAAAATGGTTACAATATTCACTACACTTATAGATTCCAGGACAAAGGAATCAGCAAAAAGTTAAAACGAATTGCAAAGAGAAGAAACCTTTAATAATACATAAACAAAGTCGGAATCATAAATCTAGAGTTGTTTATACTAAACATTCAATGAATAAACTATGAAAATCGGAAACTTACGAATTGGAAAATCGGGAAAGAATCGCAAAAGAAAACAATATGCTTAATCCCCAACTTCAATGCTTCGGTTAATCCTCGGATCAATGCCTTAAGCTCTGCTCCCTGACGACTCGTGCCATTGTCCATCAATGGTCCCTTCATCTCAAACAACAAATTATCCCTCTGGTCACAAATAGCAACCCCAAACCCAGCCACTACGTCCGTCATCTTCCCCTTCCCGTTCTCATCGCTAACCAAACCCTTAAAGTAAAGCCTATACAAGAGGTTTCCATTAAATTTTCCGGCAGCAGCGTTAACCCTCGAACTACCCTCACCGACTAATTGCGCCGGACGAACAGTTACCTGCGGCAAGGGTTTCATATTATCGTGTCCGGAAGTACTCCGGGAGTTACCGAGCCCAATGTTAGGGTTAGGTTCATCTGTACGTACAGCAGTGACAGACTCGTTGGTTTTGCCTTTGCCTTTAGAGTTTCCTCCGCCGATGGCTCTCCTAAAATCGAAACCGTAACCGCTACTTGTTTTAGCCGTCTTCGAATCGTTCCGATCGTTTTCAACGATAGCGATACCACACCGAGCCACAATCGGAGGCGATGGTGGTCGTTGAGGAGTGCGAGATTGAGAAGATAGAGAAGCCGCGAGTGCCTCCTCCATCTGTAACCGAAAAGCATACTCGGAATCGGAACCCATACTTGCTCTCCGCATAGCTAAAATCCACTGTAACTCTCTGTTGGTGACGACTGACGACGAATGGTTTTTGCTTTACGTCGTCCTTTTCAAAATATATACAGAGAACCGTCACATCACACGTGTGTGAGAAGGGGTAAAAACGTCGTTTGTGCGGCTTACATGAGACGCTTCTTCGTTGAACTTGGTCAAAATAAGTCAAAGAACCATAAATTCTTGATTTTAACCAGAAAATAAAAAGGTAAATTGATATCTCTCCGGTCTCCATCTATCAATCAGTTGGAGTAAGTTGAGTAAAAAATGGAAACTATAATATATACTATCAAATTAAATCTGTGATTAATGACAGTATCAAGGAAATTAATGAAATTAGCAAAGCAATTTTTTTCTCCTTGGGTCCGATATTTCCGATAGCTACTTTTTGAAATCAAATGATTTAATCCCAAATCATCATTATCTGACTCGCATTTTGTGAATTATGTTAAAATACTACAAACCTAAAATTCGCGGGCAGCCCCAAAAAAACCATTACAAAACGCTGTCGTTTTCTATGATTGATAAAACGACGCTGGTTTATGAACTTCACACGAGGCAGTAGGCACGACAATCTCTGCTGCTCGAGTCGCAACTGTCTTCCCCAGGGAGAGAGATCCGAATCTCGCTCCAATTCTCGATCGCTTACTCACGATTTCGAAGAATCTTGGTGGTGGATCTTCGTCATCTCTGCGTACGTTAGTCTTTCTCCTATGTCTTTTCGATTTTCACAGTGAAATCGAAATCAACAATAAATCTAATTTATACGTTTTTCACTGCCGCATAGCTCTCCATTGGATCCTTGAAGCATAGCTCTCCATTGTTGAATCTGCTGCCATTGGATCCTTGAAGCATAGCTCTCCATTGGCGTTTTGTCTTCAAAATAAAAACGCCAGGTGTAGTTTTTGACCAAATCCCTTCTTTTGATGGTTTTACAGTTTTACTGTCATGTTAGGACAAGTTCAATGACTGAATGTGATTGCTTGCTTATGTAGTTATGTAGAATACATAATCTTCAATTATAATGCGATTACTATTTCAAAATAGCTTGGTTGTGAAATTGAATGTCACAGTTTCCGCTTCATAGACGATTGATCTTTGAATACAAAAGTTGTTGGTTTTGCTTAATCCAGTTCCTACTTGGTTCTTCAAGATACCTTAAACGTTAACAACTATGTCTTTCTGATTTTCCTAGACTAAAAGAGTTGTTGTTGCTAATAAACTAAGAAAAGCTTTTTACATTATCTTTTGGTCAAAAGGTTTGATTTTTTAGTGCTATATATGCAGTTTAATTACATGGCGCCTAGATGGAAATGGAAAGGTGCTGAAGGAAAAGCTCTTGCAGAACCTATTTCTAAATCAGTCTCAGAGCTCCAGCTCTCTCTAGCTGAAACAGAGTCCTCGGGTACCTTATCGAGTTCCAATGTACTTCTAGCGGTTGAGCCAGAACAAGCTGAGCTTCTTGACCGTTGTTGTTTTGGCAGACTCGTTCTATCTGCAGAGAAAGTCAAGAAATGGATTCAGTTATCTTTTGAAGAAGCTTTCTTTTTGCACTACAATCTCAAATGCATTAAAATCTCACTTCAAGGTCGTTGCTTGGAGAATGAAGTAGATACATGGCTCTACATGAAATCAAAAAGACCAAACTTCCCAATGTTTTTCAAAGCTTATTCACATTTACGATCGAAGAATTGGGTGTTGAGATCCGGGTTGCAATACGGTGTGGATTTTGTGGCATACCGTCACCATCCATCTCTTGTCCACTCTGAATACTCAGTTTTGGTTCAGTCTGGTGACAGTGATCGGTTAAGAGTGTGGTCAGATATCCATTGTGCTGTTCGGTTAAGTGGAAGCGTTGCGAAAACGTTGTTGACTCTCTATGTCAATGGTAACTTCAAAGGAGAGGATTTGAATCTACCTGTATGTTTGGAGAACTTCACAGTGGAAGAACAGACGATAAGTAGATGGAGTCCAGAACTCAATCGTGAAGATGAATTCACAAATTCAAAACAAAATGTTACCAATGTGAGTAATTTGAAAACTCTTTGACGAACCATTCCCGGGAAACTTACTGGTTTAGATTTTTCATATCAATTTTACATTATTTTCTACTTTATTTAAGATGCGTAACATTTTTTTTCAAATTCCACGAGCAGTAACCAGTATTGTTATACTAATTGCTACACAAAAATCTACAAGAGTGATCATCATCATACATATGTAACATATCCAAAGAAGACAAGAAAAGCAAAAAAAAACAAGGCAAATTAATCATTACAACAACAAACCATTAACCATCATAGAGTAATAAAAAACACAACTCCGAAGGAAAACTATACCAAAATCTCCTTAAATCTGAAAATGACTAGGATGAGATTTGGTCATCCTTGCCTCACCGACCGGTTCGTCATTATCAATCCTCTTAATATTCCGGTAAGCTGCATAGGCGATGACATAGAAGATAACAAGTATGATCAAAACCACAATGTTGATCACCGATACTTTTCTCCAACTCTTTTTCAAGCTACCAAGAACACCAGCTTTACAAGAGCTACATTGATAACAGAGTAGTCTCTGGTCATTGTTCCACAACATACAGTCCGGGTTTGGTCCCACCATTTCTCCGCCCGGAATCCACACTGTCTCATTCACGTACGTATACCCACAATCTGTTGGCGGCTTACAACATCCGGACTACAGATTTAAAACAAATACATATCATATAACGTTCACACCGTGTTAGATTCCAAGAACAAGTGACATAATAATTTCTTGAGTATTTTAAACAAAAAAAAAGTTTGAAATTTTCAAAAAAAAAAAACCTCAACAGGAGAAAGCTTTCTGAAGTAAAACATCTGAGGAGTTTCAGGAACACCATTTAAATCTCTTCGTATCTTCTTACAAACTCCAGAATCTCTAACACACGATCCAATTTCATTCCAATATCCATTATCCGTGACACGATCCTTCAACCAACCAGAATAATCATGGAGGTAATAATCAAGATACCGACGGTTCATCACAAACCGGCCTGAGCCTTTATCAGTAACAGCGTAAGCAAAGATGATGAATCCTATAAGAGCAGCGATTACAAAGAACATGGCGAAAAGATAGAGCCACATGAGGAACTTGTTCTGGTAACAAGCTCCGGCGATGCCGGCTAAAGATATGACCATGATTGAGATTCCGATGATAATGAGTGGCCACTGGAGGAATCTGAGGCAGTCGGTTGAGTTAGCTCGGCTGCTCAGCCATATTCCACCGCCGAGGATCGGAATCGAGAGGAGGAAAGTGAAGAAGTTTACTAGACCTATAAGGTTATTGCTCGATCTCATGACGGCGTTTTTGTTTTTGTTGAATATGTGTTGTTTGCTCTGTTTCTTGTGTGATTCTGTTCTGTTGTTTGTTCTTGATGAAAATAGCGGTGATAAATGTGAATGACATCAATGGACATGCACATGCTGTCTGATTATGACACGTGTTAAGTGACGGTTATCTAAATATTTTGTTCTTTGGTTATATAATTTGACTTATGGTTCTAAACTGAAGTTATATATGTTTATACTTTATACATGTGATTAGTGTAGACTGTAGAGTGTGGAGTGTTTAATATAAAGTGAAGGTAATCTAGAAGTTATTTAATTTAGAAAAATATTAGTTATCCTCTGTGGATACAAGTGTTTTTCAACTACTCATCTTTTTTGTATAATATTCATTTTTTTCTTAAATCAAGAATTAAGAAAGATTACAATGGTGATTAAATATTTTTAACACAATGGTGTTTTTGAATAACATTTGTTAATAACTTTTTAGGCAGGCATGAATTTTTACAATAAATCAACAAATGTAACCGTTAAAAGAAAACATATATTTTATGTTTAGCAGGACCCATAGTGTCCCAGAATACACTTAACGATAAAAGTGGATGCTTTGAGAAGCTTTAAAAAAGTTTGTCCCGACCGACCATACTATCAAAGTCTCCTCAATCCTACACCCTTCAAAATTCACGGGCATTGCACATTTTTGCACGCCTAAGATGAAAATTTATTAGTTTTGCTAAACTGTAAACTCTTACTAATATATTTGTGTTTTTTTTTAAATGGTTATTGAGTGGGCTTGGTAAATAAAATAAATAAGCTAACTTATGGCCCATTTTATTTTAATGTGATGGCCCATTTATGTAAGACTATTGATGTAAGAAGAAAAGTAAATTTTGGCAATCACATGTTGACACTTGACAGAAACAAAAGGAACATGAAGAATATCTTATACTTCGTGTCTGAATAGGTTAAGATCAGATTGTTCTTTGTTTGGATTTTATTTGAATTCACACTCCATAAAAGTTACAGAGAAAACAAATAACAATGGAGTCATACATTTTAGCTACACGACCGGAGAGGCAAAATAAAATAGTCAATAACCAATTATTGTTGACAAATATGTGAATGAGAAACGAGTTAATTAAATTATCAACTAAACCTAATTAAGAAAAAAGTAGTCTATAAAGATTCCCGGGTTTGGTTTGGACATGGGAAATGGTCTAAAACCGGAAATTAAATTTCAAAAATCAAAAACTATCATCAAAACGACAAAGGAGTACGCTTTGTCGTGCTGCGTTTTGGAATAACCTTTTGTTCCCTTCTCTCTCTCTCTTTCTTGCTCAGACTCACTGCCCAAAGCCATAACACACATTACCCACTCTTCTCTCTCTTTCTCACACACTGTTTCCTCTTGGAATCTGTAAAATACCTAAAAAGAAAAAGAAAACTTAGGTTTTGCTTCTCAAATCTCTCTACCCACATTTTCTTTTACAAAAATTGAATCTTTTCTTCAAGCACGAACCCTCCTCTCAGCGTAAGGAGCTTCTTTTATTCCTCTGAATTTGATTGTGATGATTAAATTTTCTTGAATACTTTAGTTACACTGTTTCCTGAAAGTTGCAATAGCTTTTCCTGGAAAATGTAGTTTCTTTTTTGAGATAAAGTTTTGATTTTTCCACCCTTTTCGTTGCTTCTTGGCATTTTAAGTTTCAGAAAGCTCAGGTCTTTTTCGTTTCCTTCTCATTTAGCTTAAATCATAAGTAAAATTACTAGCTTAAATCATAAGTAAAATTACTAACTTTTTACTCCATGAAAAATGTTGACTAACTAGGAACTTGGTCTTCTTCTTAGAAGAAACTGGGGCTTGAAATATAAAAATGTCTTCTTTTTGTTCATCTAATGTTTGTGTAATTATTATTTCAGCTTTTAGTTTACTTTTAAAGTAGAATATTGGGACAGTTCTTCACATCTGGTTTGATTTTAAAAAAGGAACTCTTTTTTCTTTGTTTTTAGTAATTTTTAAGGTTAAAGGTTGAAGCTTTTTTTCTCTGTTACACTGTGGATTGTTTGCTCATGCTTGCTTTAATTAACATGATCATTGCACTCAAGTGGTTTTACTAATAATTAGATACTCCTTTTTCCTGGGAAACTTTATCAAGGAAACCAAATTGATTTCTGATTGCCTTTGAGTGGATATTTATCTGTTGATTTTTCTTATATGAAAAATGTTTAAAACTCATTATGATTCATGATAGTAGTTCTTTAACGTCGTCTAAGTCCCCTCCTTCCACGGCAATAATGGAGGAGAAGATGAAACTTGGTCTAGAATATGACAGTTTAACCCATTTGTGTCCCATTTAGGAGGGTGAATATGGTGGGGTTACTAAAGTAAATCTACCACATTATGCTGCTTGTGTAGTTGTGTAGGACCCTTGGTACCATCTTTCGTGATGATAGGTTGTGAACATTACATAGTCAAGAGGCAACAAATGAAGACTCGTTTTATGTTACTTTATAGTCAAACAACTTGTGTAGTTAGCATCAATGGTTACAATGTCAAGATATGACTTGGTTTTTTCTTTCTGTTTTTGGGTGTATTTGGATAAATCCAGAATAAAACGTAGCTATACAGTCTTTGAAATCATCTTTTGGCAATATGCTTCTGGTTCACCTGAGATGTGACTCTGACTGTGTTGATTGTATCATTCCATTTTAGAATATTGAATCAAGTGTTGTATCCATTGAGTGAAATATGTTTTTGTGTGGTGTTCTGGAGCTATGTGAGTGAGCCAATTCGGTTGAGTAGAATGGTCTTAAGCGAAAAAAAAAACCATATATACTTTTGTGGCGAAATAAGATGTTTGATCATGAATCATAAACACAAGGGGGTGAACTCAATCTTAATGTGATTTTATGGTATTAATGCACAATCCAATGAATCTCAATGTCTGACATAAGACACTAGTAAGAAGAGCAATAAAAGATTTTGTTTCTTCTTTGGGATGTTCATTCTCTGGTAATGGATTTGATTATAGACGTAAAGAAATATTTTTTAACGCTTATCCTTTCTCTGTAATAACTCATATCATGTTTTCTCTCTGCCATTGGATTCTTAGATATGTCTCCATCTTTCTGCATTAAATATTCATGACCTCTCTACAATTTTTGGTGGGTCAGGCTACATTGAAGAAGCAAAGAGGAGGCTAAAAATATCTATTGTATAAACAAGGTTTTGATTCATCCTGTGTATTGGAGAAGTAATATTACAGTATGCAGACCCAAAAGGCAAGGTAAATATTGGGGTTTATTTTGTCTTTGTATAGCTCTTTGCATTTATAGCTGATTCTTCCCTCTTTTGTGATTTTCTTGTGGGAGTTTTGCACTTTTTCAACGCTGAATCTTGAAGGTTACATTCTTGTGGTCCTGATTTTTCCTATTTAATCAAATCACACCACAAATTTTCTCTAATCTTTTATCGAACAAGAAGACCAAATCTATGTGGCAACAAGTAGTGACCATCAATGATCTCTTTTGGTTCTCTGACTCATTTGCTTGCAACTTTGGAGTGTGATATCTTCTTGGTTTACAATTTGTCATATTTTTGTGTTTTGTGTCAGAAATGGATCTCCAGATGTTCCTAAGAAGGTGTCTCCTCGAGCTGCTCGGCCACTGAAGATCACAGCGCTAGAGCCTGAATCCTCGTCATCTCCTGTCTCAGCCACTAACAGAACACCAAAGGATAAAAGTTCAAAAGTTCTAGATCGTAGGTCTCCACGAAGCCCTGTCTCTGAGGTATGAGCCTCTTGTACTAAGCTGGTTTCAGATTTAATCTAAGGGTCTTGAAAGAATTCATTTTTATTGTTTTATTCATTGTTGGGGTATCTAGATTTCATAAATTCCTTTTATTTGCATGATCCAAGATAAGTCTTTCCATCATAACATGTTACTGTATTGATTTTGAAGAGGAAAAAATTAGGATACATTTAATATCTGCGCAAATGGGATATATAATTAGGTGGGACATTTAATTTGGGGTAGTTGAGAGATGAATTGTAACTAAATTTCACTCTCAATTGTCTGTTTTCTTCTTCTTCTTCTTGAGATTGCTGTAACACTGATATGTTTCATGGCTAACAGAAGAAGAGACCGAGTAGAATAACGGAGCTGGAGTTGCTAGTCTCGCAGCTTCAGGAGGAGCTGAAAAAGGCAAAAGATCAAATCTCAGTGTCTGAAACGTCAAAGAAGCAAGCAGAGCAAGAAGCAGAGGAGTCCAGGAAACAGCTGCAAGAAGTTTCCTCTAAGCTTGAGGAGAACCAGAATCAGTTTTTGGAAATTTCAGCATTGGAAGAAGAAACCGATAAAACCGGTTCTCTTGTTCATCAAGGTGTATCTCAGGAGTGTGATTTTGAGTTTAGTGCTACTGCTGGTGAAAGAGCAGGATTGGCTGCTGTTGCTCATGAGATTCGACAACTCAAGCTTCAGATTGAGATGGTGGCTTCTTCCGAAGCTGGTCATGTGAAACAGGCTGAGTTGCATAACTCGGAGGTTCAACTTTTGAGAGGAAACTTAATGGACACGCTTTTCCACGTCGAGAATTTCAGGAACCAACTCAAGGACTGTGAGGTATCAGAAGCTGAAACCGAGGCTTTAGCCACTGAAACTCTTAGGCAATTGGAGAATGCGAAAAAGGCAGTAGAAGAACTGAAGTCAGATGGCACAAAAGCAGTTGAGAGTTACAAGAAGATGGCTGTGGAGCTTGAACAGTCAAAATCAAGGATGGTATGGCTTGAAGCTCTTGTGAATAAACTTCAGACCAATCCAGCAGATTTGGAAAACCATGAAATCCTGCTTAAAGACTATGAAAGTTTGAAACGTGGGGAATCAAATGAGATGGATGAAGAAATATCTTCCTTAAGATGTGAGGTAGAGCGACTGAGAGCGGCTGTAGAAGCTTCTGATAAAAAAGACCAAGAAGGTAATGTAGAGGCTTCTTCTCGTTTACGGATACAAGCTGAACTCCAGTCTGAATTAAAGATTGCTAAATCCGAGATAGACGAGCTAAAGGCGAGGTTGATGGACAAGGAAACAGAATTACAGTTTATTTCAGAGGAGAGAGATAACCTAAGCCTGAAACTGATAAAGAACCAGAAAGAAATAGATGTGGAAGCTGAGCTGAAGAAACTAAGGGAGGCGATAGAGAATTTAAAGGCGGATTTGATGGATAAAGAGACAGAACTCCAGATCGTTTCAGATGAGAACGAGACATTGAAGTCAGATATCCACAAGAGGGAGACAGATGTTCAAGACGCGTTCATGAAGCTAGGGATTGCAATGGAAGAGGCTGACAAGAGTAGCAAGAAAGCGGTTAGAGTCACCGAGCAACTAGAGGCTACTCAAGCTTCAAACTCAGAAATGGAAACAGAACTCAGGAAGCTCAAAGTTCAATCAAACCAATGGAGAAAAGCTGCTGAAGCAGCTACTGCCATGCTCTCTGCTGGAAACAACGGAAAATTCGCTGAGAACTATAACCAAACGAACTCTCCTTACTCTGAGGATATCGACGATGAGCTGACAAAGAAGAAAAATGGGAATGTGCTCAAGAAGATTGGAGTTTTGTGGAAGAAGCCTCAGAAATAGTTGGAGAATAACTAATATAATTAGGTAATCTCTTCTAAAGTTGATATATTTTTAGTCAGTGTCTCTCTGAATTATCTTAAGAGACTGACTTTCGCTTTGCCCATCCCGGTTTCTGCTTCTCAGGTACCGTCGACTTGGAGTTGGATTATAAGAGCAACGCATTTGACTTCGGTATTGATGTGAATTAGTAGTTTGAGAACAATGTTCTGGAAAATACATGTTCTAAAGATTTTTAGCTGTGGTAATTTTACTTTGATGTTAAGTATTCAGGAGGGAGACTACTAAGTCTTGCATTATGGAACCAGTTAGTGGTTTGTTAACATCATTCAAAGGCACGAAAGCCTCTGGTGAATTTAGAAGGATTGGAATTATCACCGGGCCTTGGCCCAATGGGTCCTATAGAATATTGGACTCTCTAGACGAAATAAAGTATCCGAATCTTCAAATAATGTCTAGTTTTTGTTATCTTTTTTCCTAAAGATGATGTTGTTTGTAACTTGTTACTTGTTCCTTGTTCCATTAAATAACAAGACGCGTTTCGTTGGATAATAATAAGCTTCGACAATTTAGATGTATATATCTGTGTGCATTTGTATATTCATAAACACGTGAATCTGTGTGTAAAGAAACTACCAACCAACAAAGATATTCTATATTTAAAACATTCTCTCAAGTGTGTATAATTGGCCTATGTAAGCATAATTAGGTTAGGTGAGATGTTTGCTTAGTCATCATTTCTGGTCTTACATTCTCACCCAATAAATTCAATATATAAATTCTAAAACATTTTAAAGCTACACTTTCGATTTTTTATCATAAAATTGTCTCGTTTATATTGATTAGAGTACTAATTATAGCATTGATTAGTCCACATTATAACAATACTTATTTGACATAATATAACATTACCAAGATTGATCCTTTACGTCACTAAATCAATTAAGTAGAAACATCAACCTTATTGACCAAGCCATTAAGAAGCCTCTAAATGTCAGATTTTTATAAGAGAAATAATGATTAGGTTTCGATAGGAGAAATTAGGGTTTGAACACAAAATTCCATTATGGTAAATTTCTTTCATTTATAAAATTTATTTTTGTCATTCAGAAACCATATGAATTTCCCAAAACTTAATTCAGGAAAAATTGAATTTTGGAATTTAGAACAAGAAAGGTAATGTTTCATTAAAAACATAGTGAACATACAAATAAAGAAACTCAACAATTTAGATCGGAAACCGAAAAGAAAACTACCCCAACCCCATTTTGCAAGTTTGAAACTCTTTGAAGAAGCCCTAATATATCTTTACTTCCTTAACCATTTCATAAAATAGCCAACCCCGGTTCCTTCTCCCAATAAAAAACATGAAATGCAAACCCTAAATCAAAACCCAAATAAAATTGGGGCTTTAATTTGAACTAGCTACATTAAAGCACCAGAATTAATATAGTTCATATTGGTCCAAATCTCTCTCCCTGAATCAATCTGATCTACATGACCACCACCCCCTCCTATGTTCATCATCCCAAAGCTCTCTCCATTCATCTGCCATGGGAATCCCCACAAGACCTTGCTTGGATCACCCAAACCGCTGCTCCCGTTCCCAAACGCATAAGTAGCGTTCTCTTTTTGTTGGCTTGTCCCAAACACACCCTCCATATCAGACTGATGAGAGTTACCGAATTCCGAGTGAAACCCTAGCTGTGAAGAACTCCCTGGATGTTGTTTGTTCAGCAAGGCAAAGGCTAAGCTCAGATCAATATGTTCATTGTTATTATACCCATTAAAACTCGCCGCCGAGAAGGCTTTCCCGTCGTGGGACGCCGGTTCTGGAGTGGTTCTGAGGCTTCTTGTCACTGAAGATGTGGACCGTTTGTTTTTCCGGCAGCCTCCTCCGACGGGGATATTCCTTAGGGTTCCGCCTTTAGTCCAATATCTCCGGCATGATTTGCAGAAGTAGCGAGGCTGAGTGAGACTGTAGTTGTTGTAGTAACAAAACTTTGTGTTTGTTGAGTCGCAACGTGGACATCTCAGAGCTAGCTCCGGTGGCTGTGGCCTTGTCGCCGCCGCTGCAGTGGCCGGAGTAGGTTTCTTCTGATCGTTATCTAACTGTGTAGGGTTTGATGAATATGATAGTCCCATGGCTTCTCTTGCTTTGTTATAATTCCCAAAAACATCCTTTAAAAGAAAAGAAAAGAAAGAAAAAAACAACACATCAAGATTCTAATTTAAACAAACAAAACCCATCAAGATTTTAGAAATTGTGGATCTTAAATTGTAGTATACCTAAAAAAAAAAAAAAAAAAATTGTAGTATACCTGTTGCTGTAACAAATGATCCATAGGAGCTGAACCTGAGAAGCAGCTTGAAGATTATTATATGAGTGTGAGTGTTTATGTGTATGAGATTGAGATTGTTTCTTGAAATCAGAGAGAAAGATGGATATGAGTAGAAATTAAAAGTGAAGCAAAAGGACAAGCCAAGCATATGTATATATACATGGGAATGTGGGAGGAGAGAGATACACAATTGTTGTTGTGGCCTCGATCTCATATTATTAGTTTAATATTTTACACAATGGTCTGAAGAATAATGTGAACCAATTCGAAACGTGATTTGGAACAGACATAAAGCCGCCGTTTATTAAAATTTTATAATGTGAACAAAATTTTACATTTGGTAGCCTGTGGAAATTAGTAGAACCTACTAATGTTTTTATCTCTTCATATAATGGCTGAAGACTTATTAAAAGTGCTACTTCAAACAATGTTAATTATTGTATGGTCGGGAAAAATAATTTTGTATGATTTTGATATCTAAAATTTGGAATAAATAAGTTTAACGATATATTTTCTAGTACAAAATTCTCATGATTATCTAACATTTACCCAATCTTTTGACTATATAATCTCATAAAAACGTTGACAAAAAAATAAAAAATCTCATAAAAACAACAACTCTTACTAATCAATTGTAGTGTTATGAGTAAATCTATAAGCCTATAACCAGATCAAAAACTTGAGAACTATATATAAAACTTTTTTAGCTTAAAATCTAAAACTATAGTCCGATATAATAATAGTAAGCTTGCTTAGTCACCCCACAATAATGTATCGGTCAATTTCTTTGAGCGGTCAAATATATATAAAAATGAGTTGCAATCGTTATCAATAATGTGAAATCGGATCTATTTGATTAAGATGAATAGTAACCGTACGATGATGGATGAGAGATGATGTTCGACGTCGGATTCCCACGCACTCAACTTCTTTGTCATTTCTGTGTTTATGTCCCAAGTCCGTCGAGTTGTCACCACGAGGGTCCCATACTCATCGCAATGTCTTGTTCTTCCTTATGGACCCTACGTTCCTTCGTACTAGAGGATTGGACAAATATATGTGATTTTCAATTTCCATCAGTCATATATGAGTACATTAATTCGATGTTTAAATCAAAAGCAAGTGTATAAATACTAAAAAAAATTTTAAAAAAAAAAAAAAAAAAAAAATACTAAAATTTGTATTTGTGTAGTTGGTTTCTTAGCATAATAGGATTTGTGAATTGTAAAACGCATAATTCTCTGTTGAGATAATGTCTTAAGCCTTGTTTCTTTTTATCGAAAATTTAGTAAAGAGATTTTAAATTTGTCCACCACGCTCGATCCCATTGCCTTAACTCTTTTCTTTTTTCCCAATAGAAAAAAAACACATATATTTCAAAATTAAGAAAATATTGTCATTGCTGTCAAAAAGAAAAAATATAATGTCATCTTGGACCAACACTCTTTATTTGATAGGACCACAAATGTTTCTATTTCTGTCAAGACATATTGGGCTACAATTTTTTGTTCCTTCTAAATTTATGTTCTATTTTATTTTATATAATTTGTTGAGCATAACTGTCAATGATTTGTTAAATAGAAATATAATTATAATCTGAAATCTAAATTTAAAAAAATGTGGATATAATACAATTTTTTAGTTACATTGTTTTAAATATAATCATAACTATTTTTTGTGCAAAACTTAATCACATATATATATATATATATAATCATAACTATATATCTGTAAATAGAAGACATGATGAAGTAAAAACAAAGAATATGCCGGACAATGTGTAGCTCATGATGTGCTGCATTATCCGATGGGGATCTAAAGTTCATAGAGACACAAATCACACTACCACATCGGTTTTCGGGAAAGAGACTTCTATGAAGACCGAGATTTGGTCTAAGGACCATATATATCCACACAAAACATTTTTTTTTTTGATAACCCAGTGTCCAGACCACACAGTGATCCGACTAGCCCACTGGGCCTAAGCCCGCGTGCCTGAGATTTTTAAGCCTCCACTTAAGGGCCCCCCGGAACTGGTGGTCTGGGACGCTGCGCCCCGCAGGTAAATTGCGCAGTGGCCAAGTGGAGATCTAGCAATTGCGCGCTTGCGGGGAATCGATCCCTGGCCTAGACCAACAGGGCAACTCCTCCACAAGTGGCAACCACTAGACCAAGAACACTTGGTTATCCACACAAAACATCATACCTACAATATATTATATTTTTGCTAGATACCCATGTTATATATAATATATAGTATACGATCTTTAGATAAACCTTGTGTCGTGGAGAGAGAAAATGAGTAACCCATGTTATTATCATAATAGGATCGTTACTTGTTACTCTAGTGATTTTTTTTGTTTTGTTTTTTGGTACTACTTAAGTTGAAAACATGTTTCTTTATTTACTACGAAAACTCGCGAAAACGTAAATGTGTTAATGGAAGTAGCTAGAGACGAATCAATCATTCGATAAATCCCACTTACTACACTTTATCTTTCATTTCATGTTTGATAGGATTGGAAAAAAATCATTTTATTATTACCTATTCCCGCCAGGAAAATAGTGATTCATTCGTTCTTTCTCTTTTTTACAACAATTTAGTGATCCATTCACAAACAATCATTGGTCTCCAAATATAATTGATGATCATTATATGTATATTTCCCTTTGGACCCTACCTACTTGTCGCTCCCAAATTTTATCCAAATAATCATGACCATCTTAAAATTTTAAGCTCATTTAATGTAAGTAATTTGTGTTTATTTAAAAATATTTATCATAGCACTAACAGTTCAGACACCTGCTTACCAAAAAAAACAGTTCAGACACCTTTTAATCATTTAGTTTACTAACAGCGAACTGGAGAAACCTAACCATAAATCATCCCATCACTTGGTTTATTTTATTCAATTCATACCAAAACGAACGACATTAAGCCAAAATTTTGATGGCCACCAAACTTTTAAACAGGCAAGAACGTACGTAATTCACAAGAATTGGCAGGTTAAAGACAAATCTACACAGGAATACCAAACTAATTTATAAATAATCTTAACATAGATCAATTTTCGAAAGATGTGGAGATGAAGAAACATGAATGAGAGTGACATAACATGAATCTTCCATTCAAAATCATCAATTCAGGAATCGAACATTATAATATGTCTATATAATAACTGGAAGTGGTGGGACCACTGGAAAATAGAATTGGAAGAAAAAGACATTGAGTTTTGGGTTGACCAGTCAAAGTTGTAATATTTTTCAGTTGTTTTATAGTGTGTCTTAAGACAACAAGTGACAAAACTAGAATTTCATGGGCAATAAAAAGAAGTTAAAGCAGATCGTATTGATAAGAGAGCTTTCATGTCATATATATGAATCATATTGCAATCTATCTCGACATGATGGTACTGGTAATTTTTACTATAGTTTATAGAGTGATCGTTACTGTAATTTTTGTTTATCGTACGTACCACCCCAAAAATAACACTTTTTAAAAATTCCTATCCGACCTAATGCTAATTCGGATCTACAACTTTGGTTTGATACATCCGAAGTGAATACTTATAATTTCATTAAAATGTGATAAATTTAATTCTTATTTCTCTTAGATGATTAATTGTACCGTTGGTGTTTGGTTTGATGGTCTAAGCAATCGATGAAGTCGAAAAACTTTATTACTACTTTTGATTAAATCAATGACTGCATCAAGTTGGTCCATCTCCTAATTATGGTTTAAATTAAAATATATAGTGATAGTTAGTACACTACAAATTTTTAAGACAAACGAGAATAATAATGACTAAACTAGCTAATTTAAAATTCCTGATAAGAAATTAAGAACAACTTTGAGAATTACCAAACTTGATATAATTGGAACAATATTGTTTGTCTTCTATTTTGCACCAATGCTAGGAAACAAGAGAGGCCGAGGCCTCGAAAATTTGTAAGAAGAAATTATATATGAAACTCAAACTGAATCATTTTTGTGGTATTTTAAACTACTTTAATCAACAAGTAAAGTCACAACTTAGGTCATATACGTGATTGGAGTACAATTTTATAAAAGAAAATACTTAAAATGTAATTTGTATAGTATCCTTGATGAACAACAACCAACAGTACCTACAAATGACAAGTGAAGCAAATAAGAAACCCTAATTTCTGAAATAAACGTTAGTAGTAGTATAGCAAGAAATAAGAAAAACCGGAATCAACGACAGAGTGATTGGCCGGCGGTAAAGTGGGACCCAGATGTCGGCTAGTTGGATGACACGTGGTGGAATGAGAAAGGAATAAATTTGGAGGAAATCGAGGAAAGAAGGAAGAATGATAAGTGGTCGCAGCCTCCTGATTAGGTTTTGCTTGGCATGTGCTGTCTCACTCACAGTCAGTAGTCTTTCAATTTGAAAACTTTCACTTTTGTTTTTCTTTTCTAAAATTATAGCCAAATCTATCTATTTCCAAATCATCTCTGATAAAATAAAATTATACAACCAAATTTTATGTTACTAGAGTTTGCTTGTATAGTCTTATACTCAAATAGGAAGAGAAAACTACTATCTAAATGACTAGTTAATAAGCTAGTTTTTTTAAAATCATTTTTCACAAAATACAATGGTATGAAAATTATTTAGTTATGCCTACTAAATACTGTTTTTTGTATGTTTTAGATATATTTTTTATTTATTTTGGGTTTAATATTTAATATATATATATATATATATATATATATATATATATATATATATATATATATACTATATTTTAAAGCAAAAGAACTCTTTTATCATGTATACATTCAAGTTAACGAAAACGAGATTCTCTAATCTCATATAGGCATAGCATTATTGCTCTTTCAATTATAAGTACTGTCTTTTGTATAAATTTAGTTTTTTTGAGTCTAAATGGTAACAATAATTTGAGGAGTTGTTGAGGAAAACTTGTTGAATTTTGTTTTGGTCACATCATTTACGTAAATAAACACTTGAGGAAAACTTGAGGAATTCTAGTCACATCATTTAGTTAAATAATTTTTTAAGCTTGTAATGTTATTATTGTGAGTACTTTAATATTATAAATCACATATATTATTTTAATTAGTTTGTGTGTTGATTGTTAAAAATATTAGTTAACTTTTCTTAAAAAGTAAAAGACTTAAATATTGATGAAATTGATTAAGTTCATATTGATGACTAAAGAATAAAACTAATTTTGTAAACAATTAATAACTAATTTTAATATGTTATGGTTCATATGATAATTATGTTTGATAAAACTATTAAATGCTAAATTAAGTTGTTATATTAATAAGATTCTTAAATATATAAGAATTTAAATTAAGTATTTCATTTGTTTTGTTTGTCATCGTAAAGTTTATTAAAAAGTTAGTAAATTACATAAACTTATAATATTTTCATTTATTTATTTCATTAATATTGTTGACAAAAATATATTTAATTAAGTATATTTATAAGATTATATCTTTAGTTGATTTTTTCAAAAATTCAGCCAGATTCAGCGGTCACCATTTGAGTTCTAAATTATTCAGCTAGATTCAGCAAAAAATCACAATAAAATTCAGGTAGATTCAGCAATTCAGGTAGATTCAGCCGGATTCAGCGGTTACCATTTAGATCCTTTATTTTATTTAGGCTGAATAAACTTGCATGCTTATTTTAACACGTAGTCCTCTCTCGTAGTTGATAACACTAACGAGAGACGTGTATAAAATAGAATAAAAAGAAGATTTTAGGATCGGATTAGAGATTTGAGGCGCAATTTCCAAAGGGACCCGCATAATATTCTTGCCTCCATCTTCAAGCAAAGCATCAAAGCGTAGATTCCCATGCAGCAACTCTCTCTCTTTTTTATTTTTTAAAAATCTTCGGAGCTTTCTTTTGTTTTGTTTCCACTTTAGTGAAAATGTTTCTCGATTTCAGAAAATGGATTCGTTTTCACGATCTTTTGTTTTTCTTTATTCATTCCTTCATTATGTGCTCTAACGCTAACATATCGATCTAGTTCTTTTTTAGAAAGTGTTTTTTTCATCTATATATTACTAGCTAGTTCCTTAATTAAAAGTAAATTTAAACGATATGTTTTCAATTCTTAACAAATAAATACTCAGTTTTAAATGTACTATTATTCTATATGACTTTACAAAAATATATCACCTCAAAATATATATATCACCTCAAAAGAAATCCTCTCCTCACAAGTCACAAATAATCATATACTTTGGCTAAAAGAAAACAGTACAACATTATGTGAGGTTATGACTTATGAGTTCTTTACTATGGAAGGAATTTCGCAGATTGATTTTCAAAACTTTTAAACATTTTTTTTTTTTAATACAATTATTGTTTGGTAAATTTCTATTCCGCAAATGTAGTGACAAAAACAAAAACAGTTTAACCAATTCACAGATAATTTTTTAGCTTTTATATATTTAAAATTAAAGTATTTTTGTCATGACACTTCAAAAAAATAATGTCATGACGTAGTCGCGCGTCACCGAGGGCCTATCTTCACCACACTGAATGAAACTGGGCCTATACTCACCAGACCAATGGGCTCAATTAATAGTCATTATGACTTTACCAGTTAATAACTTAATATAGAGCAGAACAGTTGATTTCAATAACCGGTGAAAATATCAAAAGTTTTATTTCCGGTCAACAGTTAAAATCATCCAACCGGAATATCTAACCACATTTAATAACCATCTCTCATTTACTCACACCCTCAGACATTAACCTCTTGATCAGCCCCAATATCTCTTCTCTCAGATGGTTAACCAAATCTGGTACAGTCTCCTTCACATTAGTAAACCACAGCTCATCCCGATTCTTCATTCCTCCAGCGCTGAACCATTCGCATATAACCCGAGCGATAGCAAGAAGGAAAACACCGCAGTCGTACCCATTCTTTTGCTGCGGTGTATCAGTGCATTCCTTGTATGATGCATCTCCATTAGACACAAACGGCGAAACCGCCTTGAAGAGCTGTTTCGCGCTCCATTTATTCACTCCCATGTAGCTATCGTGATGGACAAACGTGTTGGCCTCTTTGTAGTACACAAGTAAGCTCCAATGTAATCCGCCTTCTGCTACCTCGACATTTGAATTGTCGTTTACAGGGAATATCAGGAGGTCTTTGTCGCGCAAATTAAGGGGTTTCATGAAATCTTTGAGGTATTCAGTGTCGGGGCAGTTTGAGATCCAGAAAGCAATGGAGGGAGGGATTAGTGAGATGGTAGGGGAACTGTGAACTGTGGATAAGAAGCTTAGGTAGAACTCGATAACACGATCGTTTAGAAAATTGGGTCCGTTTAGGATGTCCAAATCTGATCTCCTGAGGACAACATCTTCATAGCTGAGTATCTTGTCGTCACCAGAAGTATTTCCCATAGCGTATACTGAAAATCTAGGAAATCTGCAACATACCAAAATACAATTTCTTAAGCCAATTATAAAATGTGAAACATGTTCTTGATTAAGTGATCATAAGGTTCAATAAGCGGAATTGCTTTGTCAATAAGCAACCTTGTCTTAGCTTAAGCTAGAATTGCTTCTTGTTCATTCTAACTACGAGCAAGAACGTTATCAGTAACATGAGATCTTAATGTCTAGCATGAAGGGTAACTAGAAAAAGCTATTGATGAACACAAGACAATTCCCAGAGAATATGTAAACGTCATCAGTTTTGATTCACCTAATTGCATCAACCCATATGCTCAAGAAAGTATTAATCATATACTTAGCGTCCGTAACACAGGCATATTATATACATCAAAAATTCGGTCAGGCATTTTATCGAACAGTTTGAATGCATCAAAAATTGTTCTTAATTTATCAACAAACAAGGATCAAAATTCTCCGAGCATATACACATCCAAATAAAAGCAGTGGTTCTCAAATTTCAATGGAAACAAAGACTCTATCAGCGGAAAGAAACTTCCTAAAGATTCTTTCACAATATATCTGGATTTCAGCAGGAAAAAAACAAATAAATTATCAATTACCTGAAAGTTTCAGCTTAGTAGTCCAGCAATAAGCCGCTTGACAAAACTGTAATCTGAATTTCAGAAAAAGCTTAGATAGGTTTATCGCGAGAACCCAGCATGAATGAAGAGGAGAAAACAAAAAAAAATTAAACTGGGGAAAATGAATTGTAAATATTATATTGGGCCCATAAACTCAATTTGGGCCGAAGTTTCGTTCGTATCAGTATCGTCACTTGTTTAGAGATTATACCCTTGAAATGACGATTATACCCTTCTTGTTCCTTGGAATTTTAGAGATTTCTTTCCACTGAATTTTCTCATACTTGAGAAATAGGCTTAAGTAGTAGTATAATGCGTCCAGTGTTCTGTATCAGTTGTGGCTTGTGGCTCTCATCTTGTCTTGTGCTTTCCATCAAATTCTTCAACACCTTGAATTGGTTTTGGTTCGAGTTTTGGTGTTTCTCATTGTGGTTCTTTTTCACACAGAAAGGCAAGCATGATGATACTGTGAAGGAAGCTTCTACATCAATAGGTGATGATCCATTTGATGCACCAAGAAGATCTACATCTTTTTCACACTCTGAAGATTGATGGTTTCAATCAAATGCAGGTTTAAGCTCCATGGATAATGAGAATCCATGAAACGAGGATGAATAGCGTGTGGTTGAAGAATGCAGAGGCAGGGTTTATACATTCTCTGTTTCTTCTCTTTATTCTTTGCAAATTCCTTTTCTTAAGTGAATTAGCAGAAATTATTATCACTTTATTCAAAGCTCTTTATTTAGTTGTTGTTTTTCCTTTTTTACAAACGAAACCGACTTAATTTGGTTTTCCTGGCTAAATTATTATTTCTACTTTTTGGTAGAACGTTGTAGATTACAAAAATTCTACCTGTTTCCATTTTTTATTCTGATAAATTATTATTAGTAAAATCAAATTAGTTACGAAAAATACAAGAAAAAAAGGAAACTCCACCAAGTAAGTTTCCTTTTCCTAGTAGTAATCTGACTTAACTAGAAAAACAAAAGCCCTAACTTCTATAAATACTAAAAGCATCACCACAGATCCTACACACTCCCATTCACAAGTCTCTCATACTTCTCCAAAATCACACAAATTAATATTAAACCCTTTTCAAGAGTAATTTCTGTAGATCAAGAGATAAAATTAATGGCAGTCGCCGATAATTCCTTTTCAATGTCGACCATGTTCAATGCTTCACCATACCCTAAAGGAATCTCCGGTTACATCCCTCCTCCGGGATTCGCCCCACGCGCCTCCGCCACGCCCTTGCACGCAGCTCAATTCAACCTAATGACTGACGGCGAAGGTGTGTCTTACTTTAAAGATATGATCTCAAAGTCAGACAAAACAGTGCTTCAGAGGATGGCGTCGTTGCTTACGTCAGACTCCGATTACTTCATGGCAATCGTCACAAACAAGTACGGCTCAAGACGCGTGCAGAAGCTCCTCGGCAAATCAGCTGATGCGGACGCGCTCTTCTGTGCCGCTATCTTGCGCCGCTTCCTCCACATCACGACCGACAAATACGCAACCTACGTGACGATACGAGCCATGGTCGTTTTCGACAAGGATATGAAAAAGGCAATGTACGAGCACATTCTCTACCACGCTCTCGACCTAGCGTGTAACCAACACGGCTGCATCGCGCTCAATGATATCATAACCGACGCTGACGATCCTTACTACAGAGATCAGATACTGGACTTGATCGCAAAAAACGCTCGGTGTCTAAGCAACGATGCTTCAGGGAACTTTGTGGTCCAACATGTGCTTACACTGTATGACTTGCGTATCACTCACAACATCGCGGTTAATCTTTTTGGCCATTGCGTTGAGCTCTCGTCTAAGAAGTATGGAAGCTACATCGTGGAGAAGCTTTTGGAGGCGGAGGAGTCAATGGTTGTGGTGGTTGCGGAGCTTTTGGAGTGCGACGGAGACAGGTTGATGAGGCTGGCGAGGAATGAGTTTGGGAATTTCGTGGTGGTCAAGGCACTGAGATTCACCAAGGCGATGTCTAAGATTGATCTGTTTTGGGGTTTGGTGCAGAAGCTCATGCCTTTTATCCATCTCTTGCGTAGATCTCACGGAAGCAACATTGCAAGCATCTTGGACTCATTTAAGCTTCGTTGCTGACTATAATAACTGTGTGTTTATGTCTCAAACTAGGTATAATACTTAAATTGTGCGGGTGTTTATGGTAGTTGCATAACTCTTGTAAGAAAGGTTTTTCGTCATTAACTATTTTTTTTTTGTAAGGTTGGAGTTTTTATGAAGAAGAGTTACATAATTTGAAAAAAAAAACAAACCTAAATTGAGAGCTGTAAACCAAAACATATTGCAAACATTGCAAACTTCATCTACACCTTAATCAAAGTCTCATGCCTTATATCAATCTCTTGCGTAGGTCTCACGGAAGCAACATTGCAAACATCTTGGACTCCTTTAGGCCTCGTTGTTTATTTAACTGGGTGAATTAGGGAGGCTTCGTTGTTGATTTAACTTCATCAAAGTCTCATGCCTTTTATCAATCTCTTGCGTAGGTCTCACGGAAGCAACATTGCAAACATCTTGGACTCCTTTAGGCCTCGTTGTTTATTTAACTGGGTGAATTAGGGAGGCTTCGTTGTTGATTTAACTTCATCAAAGTCTCATGCCTTTTATCAATCTTTTGCGTAGGTCTCACGGAAGCAACATTGCAAACATCTTGGACTCCTTTAGGCTTCGTTATTGATTTCAACTGGGTGTTTTTTGTGTGTATCAAAAGATGTTTTTATAAAAGTTGAAGTAGTTTAGTTTTAATATTATATGTTTAGATAGAATTTTGCCCCCGATTTTCTCGGAATAATCTTAACGAGGATCCTAAGCTTGGAGAATCTAATCTGAAGATTTGATTTTGTGCTCTGGCAGATTCTCTCGAGGGCTGCGGATGTTATTACTACTAAATATGAATCATCATCATAAATCTCAGTGTCACACCAATCACATCATCCAATGGACATGGCCGCCGCAAAAAAACTCAATGAGAATCCTCACAAGCTTTACTTCAAGAGTTTGTTATACGTAGAGAGATGGTTCACAAGTACTAGATTTGAGGTTATAATCTGCGACCAGGAGGATAATCTGGTGTTTAAGAGTAATGGACCTCTTCATTACTACAACATGCCTTCCATGGAAGCCGATATTAGAGCTTTGATGCGTGGTCTAGACGAAGCCACGCTTTTCGGGATCAATCACATTTCTATATACTGCCCTCCTCGTCATCTGATTTTCGAATACGTAAGATTCACATATGATCTTTTGCTATAATAATCTGTCATGAATAATAAGATAGGGAAATGGAATTTATAAGTAACGTTGATATTGGTTTAATATGTAGCTATTGGGCATATCGTATCCCAAGGAGAAAGAGATTGCTTTGCTAATGGATGATGTGAAACGCATCAGAAACCGATTCCGGTCTAGCCAGATCGTCATGATGTTTGAAGAAGATGTTAAATTTGTCTCCAGACTCTCTATTGAGACTTGCATTATCTGTCTCGAAAATATTCGCCCTGAACTCATGTTTTCTGGTTGTGAAAAAGGTCATAGAATTTGCTTAACTTGTGCGAAATCACATATCAAGGTCAAGCTTCTTGATGGAATGATACCAAATTGTCCTCAGCTTGGCTGCAAGTCTCAGCTATCTATTGTTAGATGTGGCGAGTTTTTGACTGAAAATCTGTGTTTGATGTGGAAGCAGAGGATTAAAGAGGATTCAATACCTTATAGCCAGAGATTTTACTGTCCATACCAAAGCTGCTCGTATCTAATGTCGAAAACCGATATTTCTTCTTCATCTGCTGAAAAATCTGGACTTAGGAGATGCTTCAAATGTGGTGGCTCCTTCTGTATCCACTGCAAAGTTCCATGGCATACTAGTCTATCCTGCACCAAGTACAAGCGATTGCATACTCAAAATGATGATGCAAAACTAAAGTCTCTAGCAAATGCTAATAGGTGGCGTCAATGTAGCAACTGCCAACACATGATTGAACGTTCTTCCGGATGCGACCACATGTTTTGTAGGTATCTTTCTCGACGCAGTTCTCTTTGATTTTTTTTTTTTTTTTTTAACTTTTAACGTCTTTTTAAGAGCTTCTTTGGAAAACAGAAATATCATGTTTTTTGGGGGTCAAATTTGAATGTCTTCAGAAAGAAATGCTTCGTTTCATGCGTTTATATAACCTTTTAGGTGTGGGACTTCTTTTTGCTACAATTGTGGTGGAGACAGCTTAAACGACCATAGATATTGCGAAGTTTTGTACGTTCGGAGAATTCATGCGAGATGTTTTGTTGTATTTTTGATGGTAATTTTGATGGTATCACTGGTATGCCTTGTTTGTACAATCTCGGTTTGGTAGATTTTTTTTTGTTTTTGGAAAGATAAGTTGGTTCAGTAATTTATTGTTTTGCAACGGAATGCATGAAAAATCAAAAATATGTATGAACGAAAAACAAACCCAAGAGGATGAAGTTATTCAACTCGATATTCCCGTTTTACTCCCCAAGGCCTGGCACTTGTAAGCCTTGAGCCATCTATCCTCGGCCGTGATTGGTGACTTTTAAAATCTTATTCATGTATCAGAAATTTTTATCACTTTATGCAAAGCTCTTTCGTTGTTGTTTTGCTTTTTTAACAAAAGAAACCAAGTTAATTTGATTTTAGTGGCTAAATAAGTAAATATTAATAGAACGTTGTAGATTGTACAAAATTCTACTTATTAGTTCAATCGAGTTCTCTTTTACAAGGGTTTGATAAGTGAGAAGATGGCAGCGAAGAGCAAAACGGGGCCCGTAAAAGCAGGAGTTGGGGTTGCAATTGATGACCACAAGGATAATGCGTTGTATTTTTACATTGCATTGCGTTTACTTTCCTTCTGAATTGAGTTTTCTTCTTTTTTCTTCAATTGAATTGAGTTTAATTTTTATTTGAATTGATTTCTTACAAAAAAAATTATATATTAATTCTCATATTACCATTTGAGTTGAGTTTTTTTTTTTAATCATATTTAAAAGGAACTATATATTGTTTCTCGATATATCTCTTATTTGATGAAATTTTTTTTATAAAATTTTGTGGGACAAATACCTAAGTATATATATCTTATTTGATTTAAAGCACAATATCGAGTGCTTTTACAAGGGTTTTGATAAGCGAAGAGATGGCAGCGAAGAGCAAAACGGCGCCGTAAAAGCCAAGGCAGCCAAAAAAGTGTCATGCGTTATCTGTTTCGAAGACATTGATTTTGATCTCCTGTTTTCTCTCGATAAATGCGGTCATCGATTTTGCTTTAACTGCGTGAAACAACATATAGAGCTGAAGCTTCTTGATGGAAAGATACCGAATTGTCTTCACCATTGGTGCAAGTCTCAGTTGTCTATTGATAGATGCGACATGCTTTTGAATCCCAAGCTGAGAAAGATGTGGAAACAGAGGATTAGCGAAGACACAATTCCTTTCAGAGAGAGAGTTTATTGTCCTTACAAAAGGTGCTCTTACTTGATGACCAAAACCGAGCTCTATCGTCCTATATCTTCTAAATCTGGACTTAGGAGGTGCTTAAAATGCGGTAACTCCTTCTGCTTCTACTGCAAAGTTCCATGGCATAGTACGCTCTCGTGTACTGATTACAGGAAGTTGAAACTTTATCGTCAAAATGAGGATACAGAGCTAGAATCTCTAGCATATCGTGAAGGGTGGCGTCAATGCCGCAACTGCAAACACATAGTTGAACTTTCTTGGGGATGCAACTGCATTATTTGCCGGTATATATATCTCTCTCTCTCTCTCTAGTCTCTCCTTAATCTTCTTTTCTCTGAAAGAAGTATTCTCTACATAAATTTTTTCATTTGTCTTTTTTATTTTTTATCGAATTTTAGAATGTTTTGGCGTATAAAGTATAAACGTTACATCGGGTAACATTTTAGGTGTGGAAATGCTTTTTGCTACACATGCGGAGGCGAATGGAACAACATGTCCCACGGAAGCTGCACAACTTATCGGTCTGGAGACAGAGCCCCGGGGGCGTTTACTATGGTAGTAGTTCTCATCATGTTTTTCATAATTTTATATATAGTCTAATATTATGTAAGTACAATAGCATTCTTAAGAAAACTCAGCACACAAAAATGGTCCCATCTATTTTTTCTTTCTTTTAGCGTTTGTGTTTTATGGCAAAAACGTTTGCTACAAAAAAAATCGGGGTTTAAGGAAAAATAAACGTTTGCCTTTTACCACAATGGTTCTTCTCCTACACGGCTACACGAATATTCTGTTTCCTATCTATGACACGAACTTCACTCATTCGTTCTGACTTTAGTTTCTCCTTTCGTGGCTTTTGTGTTCATTATCTATCCACTGAAAACCGTTTATGTTCCTCGTTTTTGCAAGTTTGGTCTTCTCCTCCTTTCTTTTTCTTTTTGCGTTCAGGTTTTCTTTTCTTTATTCTTCCTATGTCTGAGTTTAAACTAAATTTTGAGGGTTGAGATTGTATCTTTCAATCCCCACTTAAGAATCTACAATTTCAATGACTGAATCCCACTAAGCTTTTCACCTTGTTAAATCAAATTCTATATTTCATTCTTTCGTCAATCTGAAGTAAGTTTCATACGACATTTTGACCAACATTGGCAAGAACACAAAAAGATTTTTTTTGCTATAACAATTTGATGTTTCATAGAATACTTTTAAAAGCTGTACTGTTTTTTATAACTAGATTCATTTACAACTTTATATAAGAAAAAATATCAGAGGCACACTTCTACCTCTGTTATCGTTGGACCCTCAAAATTTGCCAGAATTCCAACCAAACCAATCATCAGCAGATATCAAAATCTATCCAAGCACCCAAACAATAACATCTCTGCTCCTACAAAAGAGAATATATATTAAGTACTGACATATTCTATCAAACCAATGGATAACCCCAAATCACAAAACATTATAAAAGAAAATGATTCAGTACCATTTCAAGTTCAAAAATGCTCTTGGGGAATCTATGTTAGGGGCCTGCATCTTTGGTATGAGAACTGATTCTATATGCACAGCAGCGGAGGCAGTTGTTGAGTATGACTTTTCCAACACTTGGGAATTGGGATTAACCCGTGCAAAACCAGCAAAGCAGAAACCTCTCTTCATGCCAGAATCAAATCCCATATGTCCTGTTATACACATCTCCGGGACTTGGAATCCGGAATTTCGGTTCTTCATATCCATTGCTGTACAAGCTCCCATTAAAACCCAGTCGTTCATTCCTAAGAAGATCGGCCATGCTTATACTATTCACACTTTGCCCTTCATTCCACTTATCCCAGTGACCATTAGGCAAGATTGAATTTGCAGAAGGTTGTTGCCTTGGGAGCTGTGAGAAAGGAGATAAGCTACTTCCTTGTGTTTGATCCATTAGCCTTGCGCTAAATCCATAAGGATCGTTAAGTGAAGGAGATAAGTTTCTGAGATCATGATGAAACCCATTAACTTGTTGGTGTGCAGCAGACAGAGACTGCTGTCTCAACATATGGAGTCCTGTTTCGTTTTCAAAAGAATTCAGTTGTGATGAGAATCCTGACCTCAGATCCAAGTCTGCATTTACCATCCCTCTTCCAACAGCTAGAATTGCAGGATCCACAAAGTCAATATCACTTGCACCATTTGAATTACTAACTGGAGGTGGTACTTGATATGCATTCCTCAATAAGGAGGTAGAGTCAAGAAATCGAGTTCCTACGATACAAGTGGACAATAGTTTTAGTCTCTAGCATCATCCGCCCTCTATGCTACCCCAAAATAAAATAAAAGAAATACCTAGTGCGGTATCTGAAGATAGGCCCACTCTTTCATGTGAAGAGAAGCCAGGAGGAGGTAGCCTGTTGGGAGCAGAAAATCCTGGCGGTGCAGAAACTTGGGGTCGTGAAACTGCAATAAGACAACAGAAAAGAGAAATTGGAAATGTAGCAGAAAAATATCCAAACAAGAAATAACGGAAAGCATAAACTATAACTACTAACCAGGATTTTTGTGAGAAGAGAATAAAGGACTAGCAGCAAAGTTATCCAATCCACCAGCGTAGTTTGAAGCAAATCCATTTTGACTCCCAAGATTATTTCGATAGATATCTCGGCTCACTACAGACTCCTGAATAGGTTGATCTCTTGACAGCTGCCCATAAATGCTATGGTTCTCACTGTCATATGCTTGATTACTAGATTCTTCATACCGTGCAAAAGAAAATCTAGACTGGTTGATATGTGGCTTTAGGAGGTTTGTAGGTTTAAGAGTACTAGATCGCTGATCAACTTCACCGAGTAAATCTGCCAAATTGTGGGGAGAAGCCAAGGATTCATCCCATGGGTCAAAATCGAGTGACAAAATGTTTGAAAGTATAGGATCCTCTGCATTGTTGACTTTGTTCCTGCCTTCATTAGCAAACAGAGAGTGCTCCACACTGGACATGGATTTCTCACCAAATCCATTTGGAAGATGTAATCTATCACTGCCTCTATCCAAAGAGGACCTCAAATTTGAATCGTTCACACCTGAAATTTCACAAGGCAGGGAAGAACAAGAAGCCATATGATTTGTATCCAAACTGGAACTTGCCAAATTAGACAGAAACCGCGAGTGGATAATATCCTCTTCAGGGCGATGCCGTTGGCTATCAAATGAAGATATATCCTCCACTTGCAATTTTGAGCTACCTTGCATCTGTGATTGCAAATCTGATCTCCAATCCCACTCTGGCCTTGTGCGGGGGACCCTATCCTCTAACGGGATAGCTTTCTTATCAGTGTCTATAGAACTATCCATCCTACATTGCTCTAAATGTGGCAACTTTGATACTTCATGACCAGGTTGTCTAATAGAACCTTGATCACACTGACTACCAATCGCCATTGTAATATCAGGACGTTCATCCCTACAATTCACAGTTATCCCCATGCGTGCAACACCGTCCGACAAGTTGTTTACAGTAGGGCCATCTTCTACAGCTTCATTTACATCATCAAACGAGTTTACAGTAGCTGAAGGCTTGTCAATGTCTCTGCCACTGTAGGCTGAAGGCTGGTCAATGTCTCTGCCACTGTAGGCTGAAGGCTGGTCAATGTCTCTGCCACCGTAGGAAGAGTCTACTGAACTGGATAAACGATTGCTAGTAGGATCTCTATCAGGTGAGGTAGTTCTCTCGGACCCAGAAACCACAACATTATTCTGCAAGGGATTCAACACGCTAGGTTTGACTTTGTCCATAACTATTTGGCTTTCTTCTTTGCGAGATGGTCTTTTAAGAATGTCACTAGAGGATACAGGCCCATGAGCTGCGTTTGCAACAACAGCAGAAAAGGGTAAGGTTCCATTTACTGATGTTGATCTTTGTATATCAGAAGATCCATTTGAGGTAACTGAAGTTGCTAAAGACTGATGTGTCCCCCTGCAGCAGAATTACCTATTTTATTAGATTGACCAATCAAAAGACTGCATAAAAAAACCTTCAAGTGAAAACTTACCATGACGCTGCAGCAGGAAGAGCAGTGGATCTGCTAGAGCCCCCACTCCCACTAGGGGGAGAATACCTGGGAACACTTGTTGCATTCTGCACATAGGAAATAAAATATTAAGCTCAGGAAACTTAAAGGATTTCATAAGCTAGTCATGCCACATTATCAAGTTAGTCACCAACTAGGAATAACAAATAGAAAAGACTTCAGATGTGGATTATATTGTGGTTGGTTTGGGGCCTCTTAAGGCTTGGGAGAGTTTTCTGAGGCTAAAGTTCCTAGGAAGAGGTGTGTAATCAATCTGCTCAGAAGTTTGGAAAACATATTCTTGGAACAGATGTCTAAAGCCATATTGCTCATCCTGTTAAGGAGAAGTTGAGATTTAACTGAACTTACAGTTAAAGGAACCTTTATAATTGGTTTTGCAGAAGAACTGTCACTGCAATAAGCATCCAGTGGTGGAGGTAGCATGCTCCCTGAACGGTGCTGCAGAATATTTGTTGCTCCAGTGATTTGTTGAACTCTACTCCAAAAATACTATAAGACTTAACTAATCATCCAAAAATACTACACCAACTATCATATTACATATACTAAAGATAATAGTACCATGAAACAGAACAATCATGAACGCAAGAGGGAAGTTTAAAATTTTAGACGATAAAAATACCTTGTATAGGCTGATATGATCTCATCTTTTGTGAAGCTATCATCTTGAGAACCAACCTCGTGCAAATAGAGGCAATCAGGATTGACGCATGCCTGAAATAAAAACATGCAATTCATCACTCCATAGACATCAATTCAACATGTATCTGAAACGAGGTAACCAAAAATAACAACTCAGAAGGTCAACAAGCAAGCAGAACAAGAATCTATAGGAGACATACCACATTTCTCAGCCATGCATGACAGTACTTTGTTGTCCCAAAACACGCCCTGCAAATATATAGAGAGTGTGAGAACATACATGTGATCATTAGGTTAATATAAAAACTTAAAAATACTACTCTAGTTTAAAAAAAAATAAGCAAGTCAAAACTTACTTCAGTGGTTTACCATCCAAAATAAACCCATGAACAGCCTGAATGCAGCGAACAGCCTCTTCCTCTTTTCCATAAGTAATATATCTGCGATGCGAGAAATTATGATCAGACATATATATAAAGAGGGAAATTGTTTGATAAAAGTATATACAGAAACGCACACACTGCATGTATTATTTGGGAATTGTTGGATGACACCAGATGCTGTTCGGGACATCGAAACCTTTAGAACTTTTCCATACCGACCAAAATATTCTTTATGTTGGAGTAGCTGAAAGAAAAGTGGAGCGCTAATCAGATAGAAATCAACAAAAAGAATGATTATAAAGGTTTGGATGTAAGTTCTCATACATCTTCATCGGCTAGATTAAGAGGCAACCCAACAATGTAGACAAGATTCCTCTGGATCACTCGCACACTGGTGAGTTGTTGCTTTCTCCCTTCAGAAGGTTTTGATTTTGACTTCTGGATCTTCTTGCGCTCCATATTGCCTTCAGAGGCCAAACTAGGAACAGGTAATTATAGAGAAAAGCCATCAGCAAAATAAACGGAAAAAGATAGTCCCACATTAAATTATTTTCGCCGAAAGAGATAATGTATCTATTCACAAACCTGTCGCAATTAACAGTCATCCCTACAATCTTTTCTTTGTCATAGGGAGTGCGACAAGCTGGACAACGCCCTTCTATTTGATCTTTCTCTGCCATGTCCACTATGTGATGCCAGCACCAAACACAAATCTGAATCACATACACAAAATTATTAACAGAACAAAGATCGATGGTCTATGAAGCCAGTACAAGATGTCTACAAAAAATTCCCCTGAGGCATTGCTTATCACATAATGTATATTCTATTATTCATGATTTACAGATAAATATAGCGCAAAAACTTTGAGCTAGGCCAAGAAAAGTATATATTAACATGAGTGGTTATAACGGTTATGAAAACAGAGAAAGACGAGAGCTATTGCAAAACAGTTCTCCCTATAATTTTCAGTATCAAGACTAAGCGGTAACATATCAACTGAAATTTACAGA